TTAGCAGTGGACTGACATTCAGTTTTCTATGGGTAGGTTCAGCACATAAGGCATGTCTCAAAGAACACACTCTTTTCCCATTGAGGACGAGATCTACATTTCCTAAACTCTCCAACCTCATTGACTGTGTCCTTGGAAATCAAGTTCCTGATAGGCAGAAAAATGTTCTTGGCTGTGTTAAGAGCAATCTGTGTTTTCCTGGAATCTATTTTTGTTAGGGAATGCTCATAATCTAATCTGTGTTTAATTAAAAAATGCTGGTTTTTCCTCAGACAGGAAAACATTTACACTATTAAAAATATCTGGGCCTTTCTATGGTTTTAAAAAAAAGTATAGTAAACCCCTGGGTTTATATCCTTAGCACCTAAATGCACACCTGTACTCCAAATATAAGCTGCGGTATTTATCAAGCATCCTCAAAAATGAGTCATAATTTGTTTGTAATTGAATTTGGATTGATTATCAGTCAGGGGATGCCTTCAGGAGAGGCTCTGGAGTTCACTCACTGGCGTGGTCAGACCTTAACATGAATAAAATTTCTGACCACTATGTGGCACGCACCAATTCACAGGTGTATGGGAGCATCACAAGTGCTGCAATCTGGGAAACAAAAGTTGCAAGTCAAATTGAGTCTAAGTAGCTGTACATTATCGTAATGCTGATTTTATATGTTTTCCTGGGGTCTTTTATATATATTTATGCACAAACACACACATACATATAAATTGGTAAAACATACTAGTAATTAAAAAAGAAATCCTTGTAAGAGGTTTCTGAAGAAGTTTAATTACTTCTTGATATAAATATGTAAGAAAAATATGTGATAATTCCACTGAGACCCTTAAAAGCATATTATCAGGGGATATAAAGACAGCATTAACCCTGCAGCCTAGTATTCAGGAAGCTTGTCTAAGAGAGGGAGAGTTCACCACTGTCAAATTTGGGCTTTATGCTGCCCAGATCTTTACCTACCCAAAGGACCTGTCTTTATCACTTTCTTCTCAGTGCAGCAATTGTACATTTTATCTTTCCCCCACACCTGTTGGCTATAGCAACCTTTCCAGTGTGCCTGAGAGCTCATTCTCTGCTCCAGCAGATGCACTGTGGTTTTGCCTTGCTCCATCTCCTATCCTTCCAAGTTAAGGACAGCCTCTGCAAGAGCCGACTGGCCTTTTTTTAGTTCCTGATATTTCAAAGTATTTTAAAATGCTGAGAAATTTATCTACAGCACTCCAAACAGTTTTTTTAATTTTGAAAAATGCTTTATCTTCCTTTTACCCTAATTCTTAGCTTTCCTGACCTGCAGACAAATTTTTCATAAGTGTTTTACACTAGGAAGCGTTTCCCTTGGAGCCTGCCTTTTCCTTGCCATGGCATGTCACCTGCCCTTGCCCATGGTGTGGGAATGGCCCACGTGTTCCCACAGGGGGTTTGGGGCCACTGCACTATTGGGGCCCCACATTGCTCCCCCTGCAGTCACCACTGGGGCCTCAGGAGTAGCCCACGCAGAGACATAGTGGAATGCAGACAGAAAAATGAGCCAAAAAAAAGAAGGGACAAACAGCATCCCTCTGAACTGAGAAGTGTTGTGGTGTTTGGCTTCCGTCTGAAACCAAAGCGTAAAAAAGAAACCCAAACCAGGCAGGTGAAAACAAGGAGGAGCCATCCAGTTAATTTAATTAAGTTAACAAGCAACATACTGTCATTAGAGGAACTGGGCTAGCTGTCCTGCTCACTCATTCGTAATCTGGTTCTTATTCTATCTTATCATTATAGGTGAATGAATATATGAAGTTTGCTTTTGTGTTGGTGCTTGGATAGATCATGATATGTCCTCTCATCTGGGGACTGACAATACTGCTGGGGGTTATGCTACCACCTATTACTTGAAAGCTTGACTAGTTAGAGGACTGGGCAATCACCAACCATAGGAAATTCAACAAGGGTAAGTGCCGAATTCTGGGATGGGGCAACCCTGGATGCTTGTACAGACTGGGGAATGAGATGCTGGAAAGCAGTGCTATGGAAAGGGACCTGGGGGTCCTGGTCTATGGCAAGTTGAATATGAGTCAGCAGTGCCCTGGCAGCCAGGAGGGCCAACTGTGTCCTGGGGGGACATCACACAAAGCATTAGCCTTACCTTGAATATCGTGTGCAGTTTTGGGCACCACAATATAAGAAAGATATTAAGCTACTAGAGAGTGTCCAAAGGAGGGCAACAAATATGGTGAAGGGCCTTGAGGGTAAGCTATATGAGGAGCAGCTGAGATCACTTGGTCTGTTGAGCCTGGAGGAGACTGAGGGGAGAATTCATTGCAGTCTACAACTTCCTTGTAAGGGGAAGAGGAGGGGCAGGCACTGATCCCGTGCTGTATCTGTGGTGACCAGTGACAGAACCTGAGGGAATGGTCTGAAGTTGTATCAAGGGAGGTCTAGGTTGATATTAGAAAAAGGTTCTTCACCCAGAGGGTGGTTGGGTGCTGGAAGAGGCTATCCAAGGAAGTGGTCACAGCACCCAGCCTGACAGCGTTAAAGAGTTTGAACAGCACATGATGTAACTCTTGGGGATGGTCCTGTGCAGGGCTAAGGGTTGGACTCTATGATCCTTGTGGGTCCTTTCCAACTCAGCATATTCTGTGATTCTGTAAAAAAGCAAAGTTACTCCAGTTACTATGCTGTAAACACAACCCAATGTGGGTGTCAACATATTTGTTCCAGTAGCACTAAAAAGTCCCAGATTAGTTCTCACTGTGTTATGGGATGTGAAAACAGAACAAAAGAGTATTTCAGTTAAATGTTCTCTTCTCAAAGGTATCAGAGGACTGGTTACCAAATTGCTGCCCTTATTTTCCTAAACAAAAATTATAGGTGTAGCCTGATAATACATGTATTAATATGAAGGCACAGAAGGAAGGCAGTCCAGACTAAGAAGCTGCCTGCCTCTTTCTCAGCTAGCATATTTCCCACAAATGTAATCTACACTTGTGAAGATAAATTTAAAATAACTACGTGTTGACAAGGGGTAAAAATGCAGGAATATTTTCTACATGCTTGTGAAGACAAACAATGGTGGAAGGTTTATCATCCTACACCTTACAGTGTATCTGAGTAGGCCTTTGTCTGTACTACTAAAAAGACTAAAAGACTCACAAAGGAGGCCCAGGTTCTGAATTTAACAAAAAGTAGCTAATCTCCAGACAAAATATTAGGAAATCTTCTGTTTAAATCACCACTAATACAGAGAAAATGTTGGGTAATTTATATACAAAATAGAAATATACAGAATAGAAGCAGCCCCCAAGTGTATATCTCCATCTACTTTATGTGGAAAAAGTTTTAATTTTTTTGTCCTGCATGGCTTATATGCATTTTTAGCATTGTAATGCTTACATCTGCACTCAGGAAAATCAAGCCAGTTTGCTATATTACTGTTCATATTGAAGCCTACTCTAATATTTCAGCGCCTCTTCCATGCCACCATATCCTGTGATGGTTCCATCTGTCAACTGGTATCTTGAATGCTTGAAACGAGTATCTGCAAGGAAAGCAGATGCAGGAGCATCTGAGTTGAAAGGGACTCACACGGATCATTGAGTCACACTCTTAAGTGAATGGCCCATGCAGGGAACGACACCAAAACCTTGGTGTTATTAGTGCTGCGCTCTAACTAACTGAGCTAATCTCAGTTGACAGAAAACACTGTACAGTAATCACAGGTTATCTTTTTTGACTTTAAAAATGAGGTAAGACTTCAAAGAAGTTTATTCAGGTCCTTTTTCCTTATGATCACCTTAGCTGGGGTAGCCATGTCAAATCACATGTAGCATGACTTGGGTTTCTGAATGTTTCAAACTCTCACTGAAATATCTGTGTATTCATACACACAACACACACACACATATCTGGTTGCCAGGAATCGTGCATTGGATTCTATACTGTAGTGAATATATTCTCTCTGCTACCAGTAACAGTCAGAGATTCCTGGAGCATCTTCAGCAGTGATGTAGCAAGTGACAATCAATTTCACCTACACAACCCAGGTGACAAACTAATTTAGCCTGCAGCAGCTTTACGACTTTGCCGGCAAGAGGGAAGAGTATTTACCTGTCCTAATAGCATTGCTTGAGAAATCATGGATAGTAAGAAAGAAGGGTAAACTTTAAAATCGATTTTAAAGTAGCAGTTCAGTGCTAGACGGCAGTGACGGGCGAACAGTGTGCTGTATTGTTTATTATTCCCAAAGGCGGAGACTGATGTTTAATTTCTTTGGAAGCAGCTGGAATTGAAGTCCTTTATCTATCATTAGCGACTGCCGGCGAGCAGGAAACGCCGGCAGTCACGCCGAGCAGCCCGGCGCCCATCTTGCAGATTATTAACTGCTACGCGCAGTTTTCCCTCCCAGAGATCCCATCTTCTCTGCCCGCCTTCCGAGAAGGCGCCAAGCGACTTTCCCAAGAGGCACCGGGGTCCCGCTCCCCTCAGCCGGTTTGGCGGGCGGGGGGCGCCGCTCGCTCCGTCCCGCCGGGGAGCAGCGCCCCCCGCTGGCAGGAGGCCGCGCGGCACCCTCAGGCAGGCGTAGGGACACGGGCGCTGCGCCTCCTGCTCGGCTTACGGGCTTTACATCGGCGCTCAAACACCCCATTGGGCCCGCCACAGCGGCGGCGCTTCCCGGCGGGGCGGGCGACGATTCCCCACGGGAGGACGGGACGGGGTGTCCGCGCCAGGACCGGCACCGCTGCGGCGTCTCTCGACTCCGCCGCCCCACGCTGGGTGCGCGCGCAGCCGCCGCCCGCGGGGCGGGGCGGGCGCTCATTTCCTCCCTGGGCGCCATTTTGTAGCGCAGAGAACCCGCAAATAAAGAGCGGGCGGGAGCGGCGCACGGGGAAGCCCGGGCGGAGGGGCTCGGTAGTACCGGCTGTGGAGCGGCAGTGCCCGCGCAGCTGGTGGCGGCAGGCGCGGAGGCGGCGGCGTTTCGCCCCCCCCTGTGATGTGAGGAGGAGCGCGGCCCAGGCAAGCGGCGTGCGGGGGGCGCGGGGCCTCCCGCGCCGCGGGCGGGAGGTGAGTGGCCGCGCGAGCGCTCCGCCCCGGCGGGACGGACGGACAGACAGACCGAGCACCCCCCGCGGTTCCTGGAGCGCCGAACTCCCGGCGGCGCTTTCCGTCCCTCACCCCGAGCGCGGGGGGGAGCGGGAGCATTTAGAGCCATTTTGTGCGAGCCCGGAGCCCAGCCTGGCTGCGCGGCCGGCATCCTCCTCCCGCCCCTGCCCTCGGCGGCCGCCGCGCCCCCCGGCCGCGGGAGACATGCTTGTCGCGTCCCTCGTCGGAGGCGAGCGAGGGCGGCGGGGGGCGGGCCCTGCGTGCTGGGGGCGGTGGCAGCTGGTCTGTCAGACACACCTGCGGCTGCGCCCCGCGGGAGGGGGCAGGGGGGACCCCTACGGCTGCCGAGGCGAGTGTGAGAGCTGGCCAGTCAGTGCTACTGTGAAACTTTCCTTTTTAAACATAAAAAGGGAAAGACAGGGAGAAGGTCTTGTGAAGGGCCACGAAGATAATTAGGGGGTCTAGAGCGCCTGTCTTATGAGGAGAGACTGCGGGAGCTGGGCCTGTTTAGTGTAGAGAAGACTGAGAAGGGATCTTATTAATACATAAGTATCTATTAGGCGGGTATCAAGAGAACGGTGCCAGACTCCTCAGTGGTGGTCAGAGACAGGACAAGAAGCAATGACCATAAACTAAAAAAAAACCAAGAAGCTCCGCCTCAACAAGAGGAAGAACTTTACATTGAGTGTGGCAGAGCACCGGAACAGGCTGCTCATGGTGATCATGGAGTCTCCTTCTCTAGAGACATTCAAAGCTCCCTTGGACGTGTTCCTGTGTCACCTGCTCTAGGTGATCCTGCCTTGGCAGGAGGATTGGAATAGATGATCTAGAGGTCTCTTCCAACCCTAATAATTCTGGGATTTCTGTGTGGTATGTGTATATATACACACATTGGGAGCTGGGAGCCCATCCTGGGGATTTCCCCACGGAAGTCTTTTTTCATGTTGTTTAAATAACTTACAGTTACTTTGGGTATAACTAGTATATATATACCTGATATTATTCAGTTGCTTTTGTTCACTAGGTTTTTTTAAAATCTTTAAATCCCATGTTTTCTAAATGTTGTAGGAAAAGGTGTGCAGGCTCCTACCAGAGTTCCTAAAATTAAAATGCCCTTTCTTCATTTCACGTCTTTGCATTGAAACTGCCATAAAAGCCTGAAACATTATGAGATTTCCTAAAAATTCTGTTAGTGCCCATGACAATGTTGCTGTGTTACTGTTTTAAGTATGGAGTATGGTTTTATGTTGTTGGTTGCCAGGAGCAGATATGCAGAAGGAGTAGTGTGTGGCAGCCACCATTTCTGCAAAATCATGAAAGTGCTTAGTTAGGAAAGTACAGTTAAGCTGTTCATAATATAAATCGCAAAATATAATCCTGTTAATTCCAGTCAGTTATGCAGGAATGTTGTTTACGTTGGTTCTTTTTATTGTAGAAAGTAGCACCTCATGCTCTTGCAAGATTTCTGATCTTGGTAGGTGAGAGATTATCTCATTTAGCAGAGAGCTGAGTGATGAGAAGCATCTCTTGATGCACAGTGCTTGAAAAGTTACTGTGTTAAATTCAAAGAGTGAACATTTCAGTTGCAGTGTTGTTGTCTGTAGCATATAAATTCACCTGTTTATTAACAGAAAGGTAAGGCAAATCACTGTGAAAATTGTTGTAGTCAGCCTGATACTCCTAATGTTTCTGAAAAACATTGAGCACAGTGATAGCAGTATATAGCAGTAATAAATGTGTAAGCCTGTGGGAAGTTACTGTAGGTGCCCAAAAAGCTGGAGAGTAGCGAGGTAAAATTGTACAGAAAGAGCACTAAGTGTTTATTTGTAGGTATTATCAACCTAAGTTTTCAAAAATAACCTCTGGAATATTTCTTGCTGGTGTGTTATTTTTTTTAGTGGGTACTTCTATCACTGTGAATAATGATGCATAACAGGAAGGTAGTAACTTCTGTAACGTGGTGGACAGTAACTTCAGTCTTCACTTTCATGCTCTTGTCTGAAAGCAAGCGATGGCTTTGTAAATGATGATGTGCTGGGCATAGAGGTTAGAGTAACCTGGTCTGGTGCTGCTGTGGAGAAAGGGGTGCTGGAATTTTGTGTGAGGTCTGGAGATATGAGGTAGACTACCTGTAGATGGAGCGTCAGTCTCTGATTTCTTGCAGTCCTGACAGTAATCAAGTCTTTATGATTGTTGTATGCTGCAGGAGGATTCACAAGCCGAGTCTTTGGGGAAACTCACCTTTTTTGGTGTTTGTGTGCTTCTGGTACTTTTTTGAGGAACACACGCATAATGACCTGACATAATCTGTGCACAGTTTAAACAGTGTTAGCTGTAGTTGTGTGGAACAGCTGAAAAACATGTTTCTCTCTGTCAAGAACTTAACACTTGCCAAGATCTTCAAGACTACTTCCGAACTATGAAGGAGTTAAAGATTGTAAATAACTTTAGGAATTGCCTAGAGGTAGGCAATCTAAATACAGGGGTCACAAATGTTCCCTCTGTGATCTCAAGTTACTCTGCATGAGCTGGGCACTGGCAATTTCTATCAATAGCCTCTTAGGCTTTTATTTGATACTTAAAGTTATGTTTTTGGTAAAACAGTCTCAAATAAGGAGCTGCATCCAGAACTTCAAGCAAAATGCTTGAGTAACTTCTCAGGTGTGGGAGGGAAGGGGGCTGGAGCGGGGGAAACTTCTTAGTGTAGGGTAGCACTTAAGTGCCTGTGTGTTACTAAGCCCAGCAACAGGAAGCTGCCATTCATAAGTGAGATGCTTCTACTAAATGTTTTCTTTAAGTGAGTTCTAATGTCAGTATTTATTACAGGAAGGGAGTGTGTGTTGGTTGTTTTGTTTGTTGTTAACCAGGGCCTTGTTTGGTAGGGTTCTGTGTAGCTGTCTATGGTTAATGTAGGTTCAAGAGGCTTTACTTCCCTGGCATGTATTTGCATATCTTACCAACAATTTCAGGATTTGTCCTAGGATTTGGAGAAGTTAAATTAGTTCATTGGGCATCATTGTGAAAATACCGTGGTAGCCAGTAAAAATCCTTCAGAAAATAAAATATTTACTACTTAAGAGCATTGTTTCTTTGAACTTAAGTGTTCACAACCAAGGAGTTGACATGTCCTTTCTCTGGTATACGTGCATTGTAGCAGCTTTACAAGCATGTTGACTCTTAATATTATATGCAAAGATACATGCCTTTAGCAAACCTTGCATTTGTTGTTACATTTATGCTTATAAGATTTGCAAACTCAGTATTTTTTATATATCATAGTTGTAGAAAATACTGTGTATAGTATTATCCTTTTGAGTTAAGGAAGCATGTCCTGTAACTCAGGACAGTGTGAATAATTAACCTAGCACAATGCAGTCCTATTGTGCTACATATGCACGACGGGAATTGAATTTGATGTTGTATCCAAACCATTTACTTTGTCTTACTTTTCCTGAAAATATTCACATGGGTTTTAAAATAACAATACTTCCTGTTTATTAGAATCTTAAAAGTAAGAGAATAAGTTCTTGAAAGAACATGTTGCTTTGACATAAACAGTAGTAGTAATGTTCACAAATAATTCTTTTTTTCCCCAAAGAGGTTCTGAAGTAGTAGTATAAATTGCTTTCCTTGGACCCTGATTATCCTTTACTTTGTAAAATATGTTAAATAGGTGTAGACACATATGAAATGTCTGTTTGATACAAAGTTGCATGGTTTTGCTTAGTTAAATAGGAAGAATTGATTACTGATTGGCAATTTAGGCATTAATAGAAATTTTTGGTCAACTTTTGGAGAAAATGGATTTGACTTGTTTATATCTAGATTACAGCAGCAAACTTACGTTGTTTGTACTCTGGCTCTGTGGAACGCTCTGTGTGGAACAAATATTTCAGTAGTCTAATAGTGCAAATAAAAATAAATAAGGCTGGAAGTACAAGCTTCTGACTTGCTCGGGGTTTCTTGTACACTAGGAACTACACTAAATAAAACTCCTTTTTTTTTTTTTTTCCTCTCCCTTCAGAGTTCACAATGACGAATGAAGAACCTCTCCCAAAGAAGGTATGTTTTAAAATTACTTGTGACTTCACCCTCCCAGGTAATCATGACAGCTTGATAAGTTGTGCTTTTCTTTTTGCTTCACAGGTTCGCCTTAGTGAAGCAGATTTTAAGGTTTTACCTAGAGATGAGCTTATCCTAAGGTAAAGTAAAAAGTGTGGTTTTCATCTTAACATTGTAGTGAACTTCTAGTGGAAGATATGTGAATTTACTTTCAGGGTTTTTTTTAGCATCCTTGTTCTGAAAAACTATTTTATCAATTTCATAATACATCTCTTCTGTAAGGTTCTCATCTCAAATATTTTTATTTGTAATTTGGGAGGGAACCCTTTTTCCAAAGAGGCAGAATTCCTGAATGATATTTTGTAATACATGAATAGGAGTGGGTTTTTTTCTTTGCTCACAACAGTAGAAGATACGATTGCTTACATTCCTTGCTAGATAGGAAGTTATTTTCAACATCAGAAAAATGTCAACTTCTTGTTCCTACAATATGTTTTACGTTTTATTAGTCCATGCAGTCATCTTCTCAACATGTTCAGATATTAGTAGTAAAACGTTAAAATTAAGTTTTCATTGCCTAGAACTTGCATAAGGAGGAACCTGGCCATCTTTTTTGCCTTTTAGAAAGCGAAGGGTCACCATGGAAGCAGTAATAGGCAGTCCTGTTGCACAGATCACCTGCTTAAAGAAACTGACCCAAGCCACTCCTGTCTGTATGCCTGAATTTCCTAATTTGTAAACAAGGAGCTAACTAAACTAGACATCTGTGGGTCATCTGTTTGTCTGCTGGAGTAGTTTGTGCATTTTGGTAAATTTTAGTTCTTGGCTTTTTGTACATGGTAAGTTGTTAGCATTATTAGGGTCTCAAGGTAAATTTTGCTGTTTCATAGAACAAAGACTAATTGTTTAGAAACCTGGGAATACATGTGCAACACTTAATGTATATGATGATCAGCTACTCTTTCTCCTGTCTGAGTAAACTATCCTGCCAGATACTTTTGGGGTGACAGTTCTTTCTAGGGAGTAAACATAATCTGGCTCCTTATGTTTAAAACTGGTTTCTGGCTTCCTCTGAGTATGTAGTCTTCTGAGCAATAAAGAATAATATATTTAAGCAGTAAGGAAAAATACTGCTTTGATATTAAGTGGTTCTGGCCTTGCGATCCTTTGCATAGAAGTTTCTGTGCTCAAGATTATCTCTGGAAATAGCGAACTCCTAAGCTTCTAAAGCTGTGCCCTTACTTTCAGCTATAAAATTCATGCAAAGGTACCAAAGCATAGATTCTGTGCCACCTGTTTTCTGACTGATTAGTGTGAAAACAAAAAAAGGCTTCCCATTGTAATCAGTTTCTGTAACTTGCAATGATTAGTTGCAACTGTAGAAGAGATGAATTTCCAGCATATATTCAAGTGAGAATGTGATGGGATACACTTAAGGAGGTAAAGTATATTAGCAGCTAACCTGTGTTAACAAAGAGACTGAAGGGAATTTGCCAATAACAGCTCTGTTGCTATTGAGTCATATTCTTAGTGTGTGGAAAAAGTAACTTATACTCTCAAAAAGGGCAGTCGATGGATGTAAAGAGAATAACTGTTCACTATACCCAGAAGAGGAAATTTAAATGCTGTTTTGGCTGTGTCTGCTTTATTACAGTGCCTGTTTTGAGCAGTTCTATGAACACTGTTCATGTTTGTATGGGGTGCATATTATGGATTTATAGCAAGTTCACCTCTAATTGTGATTTCACATAAAAATAGCAATTATTACACTAACTGCTGGCTTCATTTGTAGGTTGGAATAAAATATTATTACTATTATACATATATTTTAATCAATGGTGTCTCAACTACTTTGAGATATGGAAAAGCATGTGTTAACTGCTAGATTGTCTTAAGATTTGGAATATGTTTTTTGGTCTATGCTTTGGTGAGGCAGATGCTTTCTAAGATGGATGTGTGTCATCACATTTTGGTCTTTCAGGTTGCAGCAGTATCGTTGTACAATTGCAGCGATAGAACACATGTGGAAAAGATTAATTTTTTTGTCAGTTTCTGTGCTATGAATCCCAATTTCACTCTTCTTTTCTGTGAAGTACGTAGTTTAGATTTGCTCATTTTAACTTTTGTTGAGTAAACATGAGCAGGATTGACACAAAGCCTTTAGATCTGGTCTCTTAAATTTCTGCTTGTTTCATGACTTGTTGCTGTGGGCTCATCTTCATCTCTCCCCTCTTTAAGGCAGTAGTTACTTCGCTTGACTGTGTAGGAGCTTCTGAGAGAAAGAAGAGCCAGGAACGCTGTAACAAAATACTATGGCTTAGCTAAAAATCTGATCAGTATTGCCCTGATCATTTAACCTAGTGGTTAGTTGGAAAGACACTGAAGCACCCTGATTTATACAAGCAGTTCTGAGGAAATGCAGTGCTTTTACTGAGCTTCAGTCAACATGGACTTAGAGCCAGTCACTCTTGGAACAGTCTAGGTGCACTGCTGCGTGTGCCTTACCCCCAAGTGCTTTTCTTATTGTGAACCCCAAACAGCATAAAAAACGTGTGCTTCAAGAAAAAGACTCCATGGCTTCAAATTACCTCTATAAAGTCTGCTTAATATTTTTAGAGAAGGAATGGGATTAAGTAACTGACATAATGCTGCTCAGTTACCTTCCAGTTTTTGTGAGACTGTGACACATTAAATGTAAATGAGATTCAAGACTGTCCTCCCAGTTCCGTGTACAGCTGTCTTTGTTCTTCAGTGCCTTTCCAAGTAGCAGTTTTGAAGCTCCTCTGATTGGCAATATTGAACCATCAGATTACTGACATAAACTACTAAATAGATCAAGAAGCCAGTATGGAGTGGAAATCAAACTGACTGGAGAAAAAAACTGGCTTTTAGCCTAAACAGAGAAGAAGGAATAAGGAGGTAAGAGTTAAACATTAGGAGTTAACAGGGTTGGAGCACTGAGAATACTGTCAATGATCCTCAGTATCTTTTTTTTTTTAAACTACTTGTTCTATGGTAGTTCCTCATTTTCCTTTTTGTTTTCATTGGTGTTAATTTCAGAAGGTACAACTTCAGTTTCAGAAACTTTGTAACTTCAGCTTTCCAAAGGTCAGTTTTACTCTCCTACTGCTGTAAACAAGGGAAAACAGTCAGTGAAATAAGCTGGAAAAACCACATTTAGAAAAAAAATGTTATTAAAGGCACTGAAAGGCACAAGAAAAGATGGAAAGAAATTGTTGGTCACCATAACAGCAGTTTAGTGAAGCAAAAGCAAAGGCTGCATATGGAAGCCAAGGGAAAAACCCAGATTGATTCTCTGCTTGGCAGGCAGTGTCTGGCCACTTCCTGGGAAGTAGGGCTTTACACACTGCCCCATAGCAGTGGGGAATATCGCTTTGGTCTGTTTGGGTCTGGCTGTGTTCCCTCTGAGGATCTTGCCCATCCCCAGCCTACTGGTGAGGGGGGAGTGCTGGAGAAACAACCCTCATTATGTGTGAGCACTTGTCAGCAGTGGCCAAAACACAGGTGTATTACCAGCAGCTTTATAGCTACCAATGGAAAGCACAGTGCTATGAGGGCTGCTGTAGGGAAAATTAACTCCGCCTCAGCCAGACCCAATAGAAGTTTCTTGAACTGCAAGTCTTCACCAGGTTTTTGACAAAAAACCATGTCTGAAGAGTTACATTTTCTAGAAGAATTGGCTGGCATGTGACTTAAAATCTCTATGTGACCTAGTGCCATTTGGGTTTTCTTTTCCAGGAGTTTGGTTCTTGCCTAAATACTAGCAGTTGTTGAGAGGTGACTTAGAGGTATTATTTCCAGCATTCTTGGTAACCATAGGCTACGTGACTTGTTTGTGGGTGGTTATTTGGGGGGTTCTTTTTTTTTTTTTTTTTCTTCAGGTAGGGGTCTGTCACGTCTACTTGACTTGTGTTTCAGGTTTCACTTGCTCTTCTTATCACTCCTATTATGAGAGTGTGGGTATGTCACAATTTTAACAGAATTACTGGTTTTGAGCTGTGAAGTATAACTTAGAAGTCAAGTAATCCTGTGTATTTGAGGATCAGCTGTTTTATTGCCTACAATTTTTTCATGCAGAATTCTGTTATTTCTTTCTGGCTTTGGTGTTTAGTAGACCTTTTCAGTTTTACTTTTGAGGGATTGAAATCTTCTGAACTAACAGAACTTTAGTGGTCAAATGGTGAAAAGTCTTAGAGCAGAGAGATAAGTTAGAGGGTTAAGTAGAAATACAGCTGCTCTCTTTTACGGAACTTAAGAGAGTTAATGCTGTTTTCATGTTCAGCTGAAGAGATGCAAAATTTTGTTGTTGCTTGAAGGAAAAGATCTTATGCTTCCTTTTGCTTTTTCCAGTGATGTGATCTCAGTTGCTGTTACAGATCTGATGCTTTTTAGAGCCTTTAATGAGCTGTTTGAATTCACTAAATGGTCAAAAATTACCTAGAGTTAGATTTTGCAGTTTCAATTCAGATAGTGGTGTAGATTACAGAGTTAAAATAGAGCAGTTGTGATGAGTTTGGCAGAAAATAGGTGTTAGGGAGAAAGGGTAGGTGGGAGGAGGGAACAGAAATCTTTAGTGCTGAGCTGTTAGATGAATTTTCTTCATAATGTGGAATTGTATCATCATGAGGAACAGACATAGTTAGATGCAGAGTACTACTTTAAAAACAAAACAAAAAAAAATCCCAAACCACTACCCTGTGAACTTTGTTCATATGGCATTTCATGCTAAACTTCACTGAAGACTATTTGCTACTGATCTAATGGTTTGTATCAAAACCAGTGCTTTTAAGTGGTGTTTTTTGACTGTGGATGAATTACCTAAATAACATACCTTCAAAGAGTAATTAAACTGTTGGTCTGGTTGATGAATATAATCAGAGAATGGTCTTGATTTGAACAAGCTAATATAACTACTTAACCTAGACTACCATTTCTGGTGTATTATAATACGCTTCTGCTTGTCTTGTTCACTTGGTAACAGACTTAAATTTTGTATTTGTATCACAATTTCTGTTACAGAATTTTGTTTGAATTGTTCTGCTGTGAGAATGAGATGTCTATTGGATACATTACAAAGATAACAATTAGTGTTTGATCCCAATGTTTGTCTAAAATATTACAGTAATTTTTAAGATGTCAATTTTAAGTGTTGTAATGCACAGCTACCTTTTAATTCTTTTGAGATGCAAAGTGGATTTAACTATTTTCACAATATAAAGCCCCTTTTTTAAAACTGGAGTTGCCTCTTATGCAATTGTGTCATTCCCTCTTGACGTTTTTTGATTATGGTATCAATGTACATTCTGGAAGTTTAGGAATGAGATACCTTGATTTAATAAACTGAGCTTCAGAAAACATTTTTTTCTGCTTATATCTGCAATAGGTGGAAACAGTATGAAGCATACGTGCAAGCTCTGGAGGGCAAGTACACAGACCTTAACTGTAAGTTGACCAAGTTTCAAAATGGTACAAGTTATCTGAATGTTTGTATAAAGCAGAGCAGTCAAGTAATATCCGTGTTTCCTAAAATTGCTAGAAATAAGAGGTAATAATCTATGATGTGAGTTACTTGTCAGAATAAAAGCTCCTGTTTTTTCTGCCATAAGTTTTCAGCCTCTCCCAACTTTCTTATCAGCTTTTCTGTTGCAGATTTATCACAGCATCTAAAAAGTCTGGTTTTCTAGGATCCAGACTGCTGGGACAGGGATAAGCTTCAAAGCATAACCCCATAAATACACGTCTTTTCAGAACTTTACCATTAGAAAGGAAACTTTATCTACTGAAATAGTCCATGAATGTCTGTGCCTTTAATAGTCTTACAGGATTGTAAGATTGGCAGGGGGAATAGTTTTAAGGGGTAAATGTCTAAAGTGAGTCCCCCAAGTAATGTTTGATCTGATTAGACAAAGTTGATTGTTCTTACATGGTCACTAAAACTTGGTCTTTTGAAAGAGTAGGAAAAACGTCCTATTCTGAAATGAGAAGATGTGAATATATTCTGGGAGTGACTGAATAGCCAATCCTAAATCACTTTTTAAAGTTATGTTGGCAGCTGGAGATGGTGTATTTGCTGTTTTCCACTCACCTTTTCAGTCTAAATACTTAAATACATAGTACCACTGAGTCCAAAGGGTATTTTACCGTCAGTCCAAGGGCATGTCCTCTATTTTTGCTGTTGTTACATCCCTCTTTTACTGTGGTCCCGTAATGTTTGAGTTTTGGAGAGACTAAGATATAGCAAATGGAAGCAGTTGATTTCATTCACATCTCACACTGCCTTAGATAAGTTGTTTCAACGTTCCCAGTTTCATGATTTTTGGGGAACAATACAGGCCATAGTAATCAGTATTACTGAATTATCTGCAAAGAATTATTTAGAAATAATTGTCATGAAGCAAATGTTCTTAGTTTCCATTTATAGCTGATAAATTAGATTTTTTTTCTAAACTATTCAGATTTTTCATTGTTTTATGCATGACAAGTAGCAGTGAATGTATACAGTTGGTATTGGGTTGCTTGCATGTGTTCTTGTTTGAGTAGTTTAGAAATGTGCTGCATTCTCTCATATTTAATATATAAATTTTCATAAATGTTCATGGATCCAGAAGAATTGCAGTTGTGACTGAACTGCCATTCCTGAAGTTCTTGAATGTCTTACTGTTTGCTCATGGAGTGTGGAGTTTGAGGATTGCCCACAAACAGCACTGTTTTACAGACTGCAGATTGCTTTTTGCCAGAGTATATACTTCCCTCCTTCCCTACCCTGGCCTCACCTTTTCTTTTACATACCAGGGCAGTTTCAACTTCCCAAGTTTCAAATTGCAAGTTGTAGTAATAGTTGGTTAAACAAGCAGTTTAAAAGTTACTTCCTATAGAAACATGGAAGCATCTTCAAAATTTGAGTAAGTCTTAAGGAAGGACCAGAATATGGATTTAAAGCCTCCTGCTGTAAAGCTTTTCTAATATTTAGTAATATTTTGATTTTTATTTATGCTTGTTATAGTTATGCCTTTTTCAGTCATGCTTATTTGTGCCTACTTCTGCTTATGAATTTGGTTTTTAGATTCTTTTAGCTGTCTTTTAAAAAATTTTCATGAGAGGATACTATAAAACATGCTTTTTGTGTTGTTGCTTGTATTAGCTAATGATGTGACGGGGTTGAGAGAATCAGAAGAGAAGCTGAAACAGCAACAGCAAGAGTCTGCCCGAAGAGAAAATATTCTGGTGATGAGGCTGGCAACTAAGGAACAGGAGATGCAAGAGTGTACTGTAAGTATTTATAAAGGATAAGTGTGTTTAGACAGTTGGAGGAATATCAGCTTTTGAGCAGTATCCATGTGCTGTGCTTTTTGTGTATCTGTAGCATCACACTTTCTGTGTTTAAAGAAATGACAGGGCACTTAAGCTTTCATTGAATTAGTATAGATCGCTTCCTAAAGTTTGGGTTTTTTTAATATTAGTTATTTCAGTTGATTTTCAGCTGCAGTTGTGATTGGAACGACTTTTATTTTAAAACCAAGCTAGTTCTTACATGTGCCGTGCTGACTTTTTTTCTAGCATTTATCAACTGCGCATGTGTACCAAAAATGTTACTTCTGACTGTCATTAGAGTCAGGAACAAATTAAAGCATAAGGATAAGATTGAGTTTACTGGGTTTCATTTGGGAGATTTTAGACTGATATTTACCTTGGATTTGGATAACAAGGTATTTGTAAGCCTTTGTATCTGTTCGGCTAGGTAGGTGAAAGAGTTACTGACTTTTCAGAGGAAGTTCTTTTGAAATTTGGCAGATCTGCTACATGGTTTCTAATGTTTGTTCTAAATAAATTTTTTTGATGGTCTTTGTTTCTCTCTCCCTTGTTTCTGGGTATTTTCTATGACTTTTTCTTCTATATTTAGTTTTGCTTTCTTGAAAATATCTTCTTTTGATCTGGGGTTTGGATTGCCTTCTTAACATTTTCATCTACTGAAGCGGGCAGTTCCTGAAAGAAGATTGTAAAAAGCTTCTTATTGCTAGTTCTTGTAACATACTCTTCAGAAGTTCTCTTATGAAAAATACAAGCTCTGTGCAAAACCAATAACTAGTATTGTAGTTCTCCTCTGGTTTTTCAAGCCTTCCTTTGTTTTTTCCACTGAAGATTTTCAGAACTGTTACGTGTAGTAGTGTGACACTTAACTCTGTACACAATATTTTCACTGCTCTTAAGACCAGAAGATCATTTTAGTTCATAGTAAGTAGTGTTAAAACCAGAAAAAATAATGGGGATAAAGCTTACTTTGCAGTGGCAAAAAATTGATCCCAGAATCACTGAGGTATCTAGTCCAACCTGCCTGCTCAGAACAGGATCACTTGGACCAGGTTACTAAGAAGCACACATAATTGGGTTTTGAGCATCTCCTAAAACTCTTGATCACACTCACATGGTGAACTGTGCCAGTGTTGATTGACTGACACAGCAAAATGTGTTATCTTATGTTTAAGTGGAATTTCCTGTGTATCAGTTTGTGCCCATTGCTTTTGGTGGTCACTGCTGGCTCTGCCTTCTTTACTTCCCCATCAGGTATTTATGCACATTGATAAGATCTCTCTGAGCCTTCTCTTCTCCAGGTTGAGCAGCCCTAACACTCTCAGCCTCTGCTTGTATGTCACATGCTCCAACCCCTTAATCATCCTCAGGGCTCTACTGGCCTCACCCTAATATGTCTGTGTCTCTCTTGTACTGGGGAGCCCAGATGTGTACGCCATACACCACATCTCACCAGTGATGAGTGGAGAGGAAGGATCATCTCCCTTGACCTGTTGGCAACACTCCTCCTAATGCAGCCCAGGATGCTAATGAAGATCTGTTTTGGTACTATACTGCAACACTTACCTAGTAGTAAGAGTACTATATTGAACCTGCTTCCCTTGTTAGTCTTACTGATAAATTCTGCTATGCAGAACAGCAGTAATAACAGGAGGTTTTTTTATTCTTTTGAATTCCTGAGCGTATAGCTGGAACAATAAATACTTAAAAGTTTTTCACCAAAACCATATTTGTATGTACTGTATTTACCTTTCTTTATTCCTGTCTTTAAAATAATGAGTTAAAAACTTCAAGTATTTAATGCTGTGAATTTTGACAAGATTATGAACACTACAGGGTTTTTGACTGCACTTAGATGGTTAGATGTTTGTGACTGCGTAGTCTTTCCAGAACATCTGTTTAGAAGAACTTCTGAAGAGATTTTATTTTCAGTGTACTTTAACAAAGAACAAGAGGATGGGGAGCCACCTACCAAAAAGAAGCAGAAGACATGCCCACACACTCATGTGGCTTACACTTTTCCAGCTATTGACTAATGAATAACAGCAAGAATGTAATCTCCATAGTTTATGGAGGTAGGAAGATGCATCCTTGAAGAAGAGGCATAAAAGCTGTAATTGAGACATTGGCACTTGTAGGTGTTTTCAAGTTTAAATGCACATAGTTTCAAGATGGTCAGAAGGACTGCTTGACTTTGTATTACTAGAGAGTATTTTTTCAGGAAAGTGACAGTAGAAAAATAAATAATTTTGGATGAGATGCAAAGCTAAGCTATGTTGCTAAATCATTTAATAAACAAAAACTATTCACCATATGACATTATTTGACATGTCTAATTTTTAATCCATAGAATAACTTTATTTTTGACAAAGTTATTGTTACTTCAGGGAAAGGCCTTAGCCCCCTTCCAGGCTTTACTGCACGGTTATTGTAGGTCAATAAACAGACATTTGGAAATACTTGCTACTCAAATAGGTTTTCCATGGAACAGGTAACGAGTGGAACTTACTGTGGGTACAATTGGACTGTAGCACCTAGATAGTCATTACTCTTGTAGTTTAGATTACAACTCTGTGCTTTTATTCTTCTTCTGTGCTTTCCATCCTCCTATTCCTTCCTTATAAGGATATATAGTTGTACTTGCTTAGATTGCTTACAATTTCTGTTAGGCACCTGTGTTCTGTTTTGTTAACTTCTTCATGTCAGAGAGTCTGTACTTCGTGGCTATCTTTGGATGATTTCAGCTGAAAGGATGCAACTGTTTTCAAGAATGTGTGAGAACAAGAGGGATTGAAAATGTTATTGTCTGTCTTAACAAAAAGAGATAAAAATCCACCCAAACAAAACCCTACACAGCCTGATGTCCTCTAAATAGACTACTTTCAGTCTTCTCCTGCCTTGGGTTAGAGCAGAGAGAAAACTGATACCAAGGGTTTTTTTCTGTTTGTGAAAATTATCTCTACTTGTCCACCTGATAGGCTTTTGAAAAATACCAACTAGTGTGTGCTTTCATGTTTGGGAATATGAGCAGTCAGTAGGCATTTCAAGTTTAGAGTGGGCATCCCCTGGGGTCTGGCATTGGACATGACTATTCCTGTATATTCAGCTGTAGCCTGAAGTTGGTCCTGACTGCAGGCAAACTGTCCTGTTCCCTAACCCTTACCACCTGGAATATCAATGGGAGGTGACTTGTACCAGGAAGTGGTTAGAGGGAGCAAGAATGTGAGGTTTGGACTGGCTAAGCAGGAAGACGAATGGAATTAGGAAATAGGCAGAAGAGGAAGATATTTGGGCTTGCTTTGGGAGCAGATCATATTGGGAGGAGGTTGCTAGGTCTCCAGGGGTGAAAAGTTTTGACAGGTGAGAACTCTGGAGTTAGAGCTGTGGATACATGGAGAAAATTTGAGTTGGAAAAGCTGGAGTAATAAATGGTCTTTAAGTCTGGGGAGGGAATGAACAAGGGTTGTTCAGCTGAAGTAAGTTCTTTCTACATGACTGTTTTAGGAATGACAGTTGAGGTGGAACCCAAATGGGCAAGTGCCATCTGCTGGGTACAGGAGTGTGAGCTGGGGAGACCCCAATGAGACTGTCAAATAGCTGGACATGGCACAGCATCAACTGGGTCCTTGAGTGTTTTAGTGCATTTCTGGCATGAGAGCAGTGGCAGCAATTCTGTGTGCTATCAATGCAAGGAGTCTTTTATAGTTCTTAGGCTGGCAGTGGAAGAGGGAGGGATCTGGGCCTACATAAGACAAGGAACATGGCCTTTTTCCCCTGCTCAGTGATTCCTGTCTAAAACCAGGTTGAGAATGATGTTGCTGTATCATAATTATATTTCTGAAATGTATTGCCAGTGAAGTTGTCTCTGTGTGTAGCTGTTTTACCCTGTACTAGCTCTAGCCATGCAAAGAATTGACAGGTTGTTGAAATACTTCAGTAGTGGAAGAATCAGAAAATTGAGTGGATAGAAAAGATACATCAGTAACAATAAATAAAATAGATCTTTATTGAGTGAGCAACATACTGTGCATTCAGTGAGGCAAAGGACCAGTAGGGATAAAATGCCATCCAGGAAATGTTAGAATAGCCTTAATTTGGATTATCTATTTCTCTGCGATGTTTGCAGGTGGATTCTTGAGTGCTTTATTTCTTGGAAATATTTATATGCAGTGCTTCATTCCCCTTATATTTCTTTTTAGGCAGATAAAAGTTTGTCTATTTAAAGTATGATTTCAGTTTTTGTAAGTTGCTAAATGTTTTTATTTTCATGATACCAAATTAATGTGTCAATGGAAATACTTCAGTTGTTTCAGTACCTTTGAAATCACTTACTTGAAATAAAATTGAAGAATTGTTGCTACTTAACAGTATATAAATTAAAACATGTTATCCTCAATCTAGAAGTGACTGAGGCTGCTACTGCACATTGAATGTAAATAGGATTTTTTGTACTTCACTGTTGCTGAGTAAAGACCCTGTAACAGAGTAACTGTATATACAAGGAAATGATTAAACTCACAGTGCTTTTGGCTGTGCTGTGTGTCGCAAGTAAAGCCAAGGGTGGAGGGACACTCTTGTCCTTTACTGTTTGTCAGTGAAATTCTGTTGCTCTCAAGTCTGGTTGCAAGACTGCATGAAGCAGGAGGCAAACCATGTGACTTACAGTTAATGTTATTTAACGTCGTGCAACTTCGTTCACCTCTTACTGATGAAAAAATATGTGTGATTTAGGGAGCATAATAAATTAACTTCAAGGATTAACACTGTAGACTGCTGTGATACTGGTGATTAGCTGGGTTCTAAACATTTACTATTTAGTACAATTTAAGAGAAGTCTGTTGTGATGGGAATAAAATTTAAGAAAGTTTCAAAACAAGTTCATCCTATTTTAATAACATACAAGTTTTGACTAATAAATTTTATATTTAAAAGAAAACCTTGTAGTTACTGCTTCTGAAATTTTGAGTATTTTAAGTTTTCTGGGTTCTAAATATATAAAATTGTGGATCTTTTGGGTTATGGTTGTTGCAAGAGAATAAAACCTAACCAAAATCTGTTTTAGTTGTTGTTAATATTTCTAAGTCACTTTGTTTAAAAATACACAATCTTGCATCATAAGCGACTATTGCATTTGCAAAACACCTTAGAAGTTTCTAAAATCCTTTTTATTATTTGCTTAAAATATTTCTTGTTAATTTTAGCTGTAATGTTCCTTAATAATTTTTGCTGAACGGAAATGGAAATTAGCTCTCTCTTTTAAGCAGGTAATTCTTTCCATATGCTTTTTGTCCCCTCAAAAGAGTGCAGGCAGATAGAAAAGAAGGGAAGCATTCTAATGCTTCAGCTCTTACTTTAACAAATGTAAATTGACATACAGAAAGTAATCTGTGCTGTAGAGGGGAATCTGCCTTGGAAGGTTAAGCTTGGCAGGTGGTGGGATGGAGTATTGGGTGAATATATACACTGATAGGGTACAAGTGCACAAAAGTAATTTTTATCTTGCAGTTTTCAGGTTACAGTGTTGAGAGAAGGCAAGCTACCTTGACATTATCTTTGGAGTAACTATTTTTATTTGCATCTTAGTGACTTCCAGTTTTTATTTATTATTGTATGAATAACAGTCTTTTTTTCTTGTTTTATGCAGAATCAGATTCAGTACCTCAAGCAAGTCCAGCAGCCTAGCGTTGCCCAACTGCGATCAACAATGGTGGACCCAGCCATCAACTTGTTTTTCCTAAAAATGAAAGGTGAACTGGAACAGACTAAAGACAAACTGGAACAAGCCCAAAATGAACTGAGTGCCTGGAAATTTACGCCTGATAGGTAAACAAAACAAATACTCCCCAGTCAAGACTTCCCTGACAGTCCCACTACGAGAATGCTATGGTGGGACAGCCAAGTACTCGTTTCCACACCAAGACTCAGACGTTTTGAGGCAAAGGCCACATTCTTATACTGTCCAGCTTGTAATGCTTAATGTAAAACTTACCAGATGAACCTTGTGTTTCAGCTTTTTTTCTCCCCCTTTGCTTCAGAGGCCTGACAGCGTCGGACTGTTCTGAAGAAATGGCCATCTTCGAAAAAAATCTTTTCTAGAACATGTAGACATTTGCAAAATTGTTCTATTTGAAGAAAATAGAGGGAGAAACAGAAGTCTAAAGTCTGTGGCACACTGTGTCTTCAGACAGTTTGGAGGAGAGAGAACCTAGAGATCATAAATCATGAATTGAACATGTAAAATTCCCATAAAATGTAGAAGTGGAATATGCTTCGCTCTTAACCTTGAGCCTAGTGACTTAGAGACACTGTAAGTCAGTTTTGCCAATAAGACTGTGGACTTCCTGCTTGTTCACTGAACTGCTGGGTCAAAACTCGATGAGGTGAATTTTGCATTAAAGAGTTTACTTGCTAACCAATTTCGAATAGCCACGAGAGTGCTATTTGATATCACAACAGTGATATGTACACATTTGACTGTGTAGCCTTTGGGCTCTCTAGCACCTGATGCAGCTTTAAGTCACTGTTGCTAAATAATGAACTGTTTTCTGGATGGTTGGTAATACTGTGGATGCCTCAAAATTAGGATTGTACGAAAATGTACGTTCCATCTAATTGCAGGTTTTAAATTGTTGGAAGTAATATATATATTTGGTCACAACTAGCATGTATAAAAAAACCTGGTTGTGATAAGTATTTCACTGCATGTTTTCATGCAGAATTGAGATTTTTTTCAGTCTTCCATACTAAGAACTGATCTCAAATGCTCAATACAGAAGGCACATGATGGCAACTGTCTTCAGTGTTGGTGGGATGCTTTTATTCCGTTGTACATCTGGGGTTTTTTTTGTATTGCGCTTCTATATAAATTGTGCCTTGAAATAGTTGTAATTTATAGTTCAAGGAACACTACTGGTTATACTGTTGTATTGTGAAACTTCTGGGATGAACGAGAATTGAACAGGTTGTTATTTCTGCATTGTCTCGTTCTCTGAAAACAAAGTCAGTATTTTAACAAACCAAAAAAAAACTTCAATGCATGCATTTTTCCTTGGTGGAATCAGTGAAGGAGTCTTTGCTACTCTTGATGCCTCTGTTCTGTTGTCCCAAGTTACTTGTAAGTAGCAATCTGGGACAGTTGGGAGTGCATGTCTGAGGTGTGTAAAGCAAAATGTAGATTTGGTGTAGCATTTGTGTGTTTGTTTTTTTCCCTTAGAAAATAGAGTTCTATTTAGGAATCTGAGGTTTTGATTTTTTTAAAACAGTTCGGCAATATTTTATGACTCAGTCTGATCGTAGAAAATTCAGTTTTAAAGTTAAAAAAAAAGACATCCAGTTGTCACAGAAGGTGATGTATTCTAACTGTTTTGATTTTTATTAAGATGCCGTTACATAATTTTGACTCGGAAGTATCTTTAACTGTTTGTGCTTCATTGACTAATATGAGATCAAAGTGAAGTATACTTATGCAGGTTTGGTTTTTTTGCATGAGTAATGACTTAACAGCAAAAGAAAAATTTACACAGAAATTTTACCTTTTTAAAAGTGATACATCTGGAATGATTTTGCTCTAGCAGTATCTAAGATTTTAATGATCTAGCATCAAAACAGAGGTAAGACTTACATTAAGAAATTGTTGACCTGTTACCAAGCCATTTGTAAAGCTCACTGTGTGTTGAAAGAGGCATGCCATGCAGATTGCTTGTTTAACTTGGAGTTCAGAAAATTAATACATTTCGGTACAGATTGTGTGTTTTCTTAAGTCCTCAGGCTCTAAATGTGTGTTTACAACTGAGGAGAGACAAGTAATTTGCCACTTCCTTTCAAACTAAAGTATCAAAAGAAAATGTTATTTCTGTAGCTGCAACGTACCCTAATTTGCATAATATAATTTTAAATCAGTGGTGTGAATGTTCGTAATTCATACATGCAGTAGCTGGAATATAGAAAATTAGTTATTTCCTGGTAAACAATTGAGGCTGTCTTTGTTAACTGGGTTAAGATTTTACTGGTTTTTTTTTTTCTGGAAAGGTAAAGAAATGATGACTCATGTAAAATACTTTTGAGGTTTTTTCATTCTCTTTGCATCTTGCCTCCCTCCTTAATTGCTTTAATTGTCCACCCTTAAATACAGCTTCTCTTAAATCATGGCATCTAATCTAGTTTTTAGTCCTATTCAGCTCCTAACTGAAGCTCTTGGTGTGAATAATATGTTATAACTACATCCCTAAGTCGAGTTAGTTCTGGACCTTAACTGTAGATAAGGCTGTGCAGCATAATCATTGCTGGTGTCTGGAGGGGAAAATAAAAGGGCATGTAATCAGAGGAATGGCTGTGCTAAGCCATTTCAACCATCATTAAACACTATACACTTGGAATAAAAAGTAGTAGAAAAGTCATTTGCAGTAAACAACAAACTCTAGTCTTCTGATATTTAACCACTTACATTCTTACAGGTTTTGTTGCATGTATGTTCAAGAGGATTTGTGAAAACAATGCTGAACTTAGTTTTACAGCTAATAGGATTTATTTTAATAGTTGCTGGATTTTGTGTTCTTGAATGTGTTGTCGTTTTTGTAAATTGCAAGGGGAGGTTATTTGCTGCCCTACTAGTTCAGAACATCTGGAAAAATTTTGATGGGGAGAAATAGCATTATAGGTAACTATGCAAATTTCTATACAGGTAATAAATATTTTACATTTTGGCAGGAGTTAACATGAAGAAATTAATGGGATTCTAAAATTGTCCCAATTCCAAGGAAACCGGTACTTGCTAATTCTACAGTTGGCGTTGGTTTGTGAAAAGCATTAAATGATTTAAGCATTGTAAACTTTTTCTACTTCTAGTGATGATGAATACAGTAACAGGAATTTGCAAATGGCTAAAAATCACGTCTGCCTAATAACTTTTGGGATCTGTCACATTGGTTATCTCCAAAGTGGTCCTGCTTTACACAGAATGAACATCTCTAAGGAAACTTGCATCTTAAGTGTGCGACTTGGACTGTATTAGGTCAGCACAATTTAAACTTCAAGGACCTGGATTGGACATCACATCAAGAAAGAAAACAGGCTGCTGCCTTTAGCAGTTTCAGGCCTCCAGGACTTTACACAGCCAGATTCCTTCTGGAACAGCCCATCTGAAAGATTTGGGAAAGTCAGTCGGAAAATGTTAAATGGGGCTTAGTTGGCAGAGCTTAAAATTTGTCTAAGGCTTGAATGCTCAAAAGGTAGTTGATAAGGAAATTGTTTTAAGGTTTTTTGGTTGGATATTTTGGTTGCAGGAGAGAACTGTGGCTGTGATTGTAGCAGAAGTTTCCTGTTCTACTTTTTTAATCCTCATTTTTTTTTCAATACTTGTCTCTTGTTTAAAAGCAAACAAACAAAAAGCTAAATGACCTTCTTGGTCTTGAAAAGTAATGCAAGTCTTGCCATTGAATTCACAATAAACCTGTTCAAGTTTGGGTGGTTTTTTGGCAGAGGTTACATTTCTATAGAAAAGAGGACAGCTTAATTATGGTGCTGAGCCTATTAAAAGGAAAACTGTTTGAGGATGCTATCCTGACTTGGCAGACCAAGAGTCCTAAAGGACTTAAATTTTTTTCTTTTATGGAGTCAGCTGTATTGCCTATATATTAATTTGCATACTACTTCCTATAATGCTTTACAATGTGATTTTTATCATGAAGATTAAAGATGTGTAATGTTACCATTTTAGTAAAAAAAAGTCTTGTCAGTTGAAAATAATTTTCCTGCTTTTCTCACTTCTTTCAGAAACTGAACATCCTAATGATCATTAATTATTAGTGAAATCTGTCAGTCTAAAGGAAGTAGATAAGTAATATACTCCTTCCTTAAATGTCCTGCCAGTGTTTATCTACATTTTCACTCCTCACCATACAAGATGTACTTAAGAAATACTGACTGTAGAAGTCATGAAACAAACGATGCATGTGGCTGTCAAACATATAAGTTGAGTTGAAAAATGGACATCTCATTTTTTAAATAAGAGTACCTGGACAGCATTTTAAAGAATGCTTAAGCTTCTTAAAGAAAATTGGATGTCACTATGAAAAATTAACATGGGATTTATTATTTCCCCCAAGCAACTTTTTCTTCATCCAAATTTAATTATTCAATTTTACTAGTACAATAAATGGGGAAGGTTTTTGCTTATGTAGTTTTTATGCAGGACTCGATCTTTTGAATTGCAAAGCACATCTTTAATCAAATATTTAGGTCTGTTGAGAATTGGCACATGCAAGATTGTGCATACTGATAATCCAGATGTTGGTATCAAAGAACAATATGCTTATTCATATTTTCAGTAATAAAACTTGCCTTCCACTTTATGGGACAGCGGCAGAAGATCTACTGGCGTTGGAACAGCATGTGGTAACTATAGGGAGACTTTCTGCTATGACAATTATGTTGAGGCATAATGTTCCTTGAATTGTGACATGCAGAAATTGCATCTCCTTTTTGTCTGTAATTGTGATTGAGGAAGATTACTGAAGGTTTTGTATTCATTTTGTGATAGATGGCTCTTTCCTTTGCAGCCAAACAGGGAAAAAGTTAATGGCGAAGTGTCGAATGCTTATCCAGGAGAATCAAGAGCTTGGAAGGCAGCTGTCCCAAGGACGTATTGCACAGCTTGAGGCAGAGTTGGCTTTACAGAAGAAATATAGTGAGGAACTTAAAAGCAGTCAGGATGGTAAGGGATTTTTTTAAAGAAAACGGAAGTTGCCTTGCACTTCTGCTAGTTTAATTTCCGGATTATACACGTAATGTAAAACCATCTTTGCCAGAATGAAAGGACAATATCAAGTAAAATAGGACAACTGTAAGTCTTCACTGGTAGTCTTAATTAAAAACAAACAAACAAAACGCTTAACTTTGTGGGAACTGGTGGGATTTGCAGTCCAGTAATGCAGCCTTTGAAATTGAGATTTTTGTACTTTAGGTCTTGCTATTTAATAGGAAGTGTTTAGACTGCACGCATTATTGGTGAATTGGCGTGATGAAAGCTGTTAACAATTTATGAAGCCTAAGCATGCACTGAGAACAGAAAGGTTCTTGTTAACTCTGATTCATTTTGAATTTATTTTAAAAAATCAACAACTTTCTAACAATGCCAAAGAATATGAAAAATAGATTTTTTTTTTCCTTAGGTAACTCAGATGAATAAAAATAACTCATTGTGTTCACAGTCCAAATTTTACAACACTGTAAATCTGAATTGAAATTGCCTTTCAACTCTGACCTCTTGTATAAATTAAATGGAGGGGAAAATGCAAGTTTGAAAAGTCCTCAGTCTTGAGTTCTGCATAGGATCGGTGGTTCTTAACAGAATATTAAAGTAGGTTACGTGAAGTTTTAAGATACAACCTATTTAGACATCACATAAACCTGAATATCTTTGCTTGGTTTACATCTGAAATCTGTAAAATAGCATAGACTTGGTTTGACATCAGATGTAAGTCTGAGATATCCTGTAAAAGGATATTTCTTCCCCCATCATATTTTCATATTTTCGACAAAGTAGTACTATAAAATAACTAGAATCAATAAGGTAAATGATTCTATAATGTCATTTTGTTTGAATAGTTACCCTTTTGCTTTGTAACTACTATTTTGATAATGTACTTGAACAGAATTTATCAAGTATGTAATTGAAGCAAGTATAGCCATTCTTTAAAGACTTCTTCTCTTGAATGCAGTAGTCTCTAGAACTGAGAAGTGTTCTTTAGCCCCTATTGCCTCTTCCCTGTATGAGGCAAGATGACAGTAATCCTGCAATAACAGTTTTCCTAATGATTGTTTTTCATAGCAGCAAGATCACCTAATTTTACAAATTTTTACAATATTAAGCAGTTTGCACTTTATTTGCTCTGTCAAATTGATGGTGCAGTTGAATGGAAGACTGAGGAAGTTAGTGTTTCTTGTACTGTTTTGAGTTCAGATTCATTTTGCTCCAGAATGGAGTCCTAATTATAAAAACTGTTTTCTGGTACATAAATATTAAAACACCCAGTGGAATTAATTAACAGCCTAGTTGGTAAGAAAGCCTTCTTGTGCGTTGTCTTGAAGGATTTAAAGGATTAAACAGAGTAAGAGCTGAAACTTCCTTTAAATATGACGGAATTTTTTTTTGTTACTGAATAAGCTTTTGCAATTATTTGCAAATAATATGCAGTTATTCAGATCTGTTATATCTGGATATGGTTCATGGTCCTTCTTTTACAGTATTTCCACTAAGGTTTTATACTTGAGTAAGAGTAGACACACTAAGATCTATTTGTGAAATATTAATTATTGGAATTGAGCTTTTTTTCCATATATTTTCTTACCCAGAAATTAATTTTTTCTCATGTATTTTGAATAGCAGTATAGAAAGTAAGTAGATATGACAAGTAAGCATTTTCTCCTTCAGAGGCAGAGTATCAAAACCAGTGCATACTTGATGGCTGAAAAATAGTTTATTGAAAAATTTCAGCATAAAATGTTTAGTTATGGGATTTTAATTTCTTGTCTGTATATGGGCTATTAAGTGTTTGCAACAAATGTGTTTTCTTTACATAGAATTGAATGACTTCATCATCCAACTTGATGAGGAGGTAGAGGGTATGCAGAGTACCATTCTAGTTCTTCAGCAGCAGTTGAAGGAGACTCGCCAGCAGTTGTCACAGTATCAGCAGCAGCAGTCCCAGGTCGCCAACCCAGGTACCAGCAGGACTCCATCTTCTGAGCCTACAGACCAGGGAGAGGCTGTGGGTAAAGACTGCAGCCGCCTGGCAAACGGACCAAGCAATGGTAGCTCCTCCCATCAGCGGACGTCTGGGCCTGGATTCTATAGGGAGGGTAGCGGCACAGAAGATGACTTCACAGCTTCTCCAGGGAATGGTAATAAGCTGTCCAACCACTCTGAAGATAGAACTGGTAGAGGAAGTGGTAGCTACATAAACCAACTCAGTACTGGGTATGAAAGTGTAGACTCTCCCACTGGCAGTGAAAACTCTCTCACTCACCACTCAAATGACACAGACTCCAATCATGATCCTCAAGAGGAGAAAACAGTGAGCATGAAAGGTAACAGAACTGTGGGTTCTCGTCATGTCCAGAATGGTTTGGACTCCAGTGTAAATGTGCAGGGTTCAGTTTTGTAACATTTTTCTGCAGAATTTTTATACAGTGTCATTGAAACTGGGAGAGGATACTGTCCAGAAGCCGTTTAAATTAGTGCATACTTGTCACAATTTTGCCTTTTTGTGGGTTTCTTTTTGCTTCAATACCTCTGCCACTTTGGAAATTTTAACAGTTAATTACGTTGAATGTTGCTAAAAGGACGTTTGTGTAGCTCAAGTTATTTTTATATGAGTTAATGTGAAGTTGAAATGGAAATTATTTCCATAAAGTATAACATAAATGATGTCTGTACAAATCTGTGTATATCTAGAACCTGTGCTGTGTAAGGGCATTCTTACTCATACTGTTATACTTACACCACCTTCAAGATTTGTCATAATAGCTGTGGGTTTATGACTGCCAAGTTTGCCCAGTACAGTAGTTTTATCACTAAAAAGAAGGACTTACTGAAGGAGTCCTGTAGTAGTTTCAGTGTTAATTACAGTTTTTCCCACCATACATCTGTGCATTTTCTCCTTAGGTGACCGAATGTTTATTAATTGTGTGCATAGTTACTCAGTTTTTAAGAACTGTTGTATCCTGTTGATGCATATTGCTCTGTGACTCCAATATTATCTTACCTGTACTGACCAAACCTAAATAAAAACTTTTAATAATGTAATTTCTGCATTGTTCTGCATTGGCTTACATGTCTTATTTGTATGCAGTGTATTTATAGTACTTTTGTTTAAAATTTGTTTCTGTGTCAATCTGGTCTCATACAGCATATGCCAAATACACGAAGTTACAGGTGTGTACTAATGCTAATTTCAGGACAACCTGATAGTGCTTGTCCTTACTGGCAGAAAAAGGGAGTGGGGGAAAGGAGAAAGGTAATAAAAGTAAACCTTATGAGTTGGAACCTGTGTTTATTAAGGATTAAAAAAACCCAGCAAAATCTAGAAGTATCTAACAGGTAAATATACAAATTAAAGTACAAAAAATTAACATGTTAGTTATTCAGCCTTTTAAACCAGATATAACTTCTCTTGGTTTGAAATGCCTGTCTAAGGAAACTGATTTCTTAGCATGCAGAGAATGTAAGAATTACCTTTAATTAAGCATATCTTTATTGTTCAGTAGCAATGAGCTATGAATTTGTCAGAACCTGGATTTTTAGTGGTTATTTTCCATCTACTAGTTTACTGATGGTAGCACATAAGCAAGGAGATGAAAAAGCACTGGCTTTTAAAGCACTGTTCAAAGGTAAGACAGAAGTTAGCTGTATGTCTTAGGGTAGACTTAAGTCCAGTTTCAGCATTTTTCTACTTGGGAATCTTGTAGTTGTCAGATAACTAATAAAATTATGACATATGTAGCCACTAAAATAATAGGAAGTAGCTTATTGCTTTGCAATTCAATGTGGAAACAGACTTGTTTGAAAACAGTATTTCTCCAGAATTCTTGAGCATACTTGAAATCGTTTAAATTTACAGTTACAATAAATTCCTAGGTTATAGAAGGGATTCTGTGGTAGCATTTTTAAGTGGCATGTGAAATTAGTATCTGCTGTAATATTCTCCATGACAAGTGGATG